TCAGAGTCCACATCTCCAGCCTTCTTTATTTTTATTTTGAGGCAGGCTTAGGCTAAATTGTCCAGGCTGACCTCACACTTGCAAACTTCCTGCCTCAGTTTCCAAAATCCCTGGGATTACAGGCATGTATTACCACATCAGATGATAATATACACCTTTAAGCAACTGTTTTAATTATTTTTATGTGATGCTGAGGATTGTACCTAGTGCCTCACAGTGGTATACTACCACTGAGTTACAACCGAAGCTCATCTGTTTTATTTTTTTTTAAGAGAGAGAGAGAGAGAGAGAGAGAGAGAGAGAATTTTTAATATTTATTTTTTAGTTCTCGGCGGACACAACATCTTTGTTTGTATGTGGTGCTGAGGATCGAACCCGGGCCGCAAGCATGCCAGGCGAGCGCACTACCGCTTGAGCCACATCCCCAGCCCCAAGCTCATCTGTTTTAAAGTGTGAAATAACCTGATGAACACCAATAGAAATTCTGAGTCTCCTCAGCAAAAACAAAACACCTTGTCTTCAAGGCCTGAGTTTTAGAAGTGTATGACAATTTCATTGAACTAAAAAATGGAGGTAGGGGAATCTCTTCTTTCTTTATATAATTAAAAAACTGTGTTGAGGAACTGGGCACAAGAGGGCATGCCTGTATCTCAGMGACTCAGGAGACTGAGGCAGGAGGATTATAAACTTGAGGCCAGCCACAGCAACTTAGCATGACCCTCTAACCCATCTCAAAGTAAAAATTAAAAAATGGGATGTAGCTGGGCACAACAGCATGTCTATAATCCCAGCACTTCAGGAGGTTGAGACAGGAGTTCAAAGCCAGCATCGGCAACAGCAAGAGGCTAAGCAACTCAGTGAGACCCTGTCTCTAAATAAAATACAAAATAGGGCTGGGGATGTGGCTCAGTAGTCGAGGGCCCCTGAGTTCAATCCCTGGTACTAAAAAAAAAGAGTGGGATGTAGCTCAGTGGTAAAGTATCCCTGGGTTTAATCTCCAGTACCACACAAAAGAAAAGAACTTGTATTAAGCATTTCATATACTAGTGGAACAGATGACTACAAAAATAGGAAATTATAATAATAACTATAATAATAATCCATGTGCTGACATGGATTCTTCCATCCAATTTCAGGGAAAGAGACTCCAATTAGGGAAGAGCTCTTCTCCTGCCTAGAACAGGGGTAAGGAAGGTTTCTCAGAAGAGAAGGCTGTTCCAAGCAGAGATATACGAAGAACTCAAAATGAACAGTTGTCAACACCAGTAAAGCCAACCTGTTTTCTTTCTGCAATGCTGTCAGTTCAGGATAAGCCAAAGCTCAGAGAATAGAGACAGGCTCCAAGACCTGAAGCCCCAGGCTTAATGCACTGTGACTTATGTATGTCACAACTAAAAATCTAAAAGAAGGTGACCATTCTGAGATCCCCCACCCTCCTATTCTCAAATGTATTCTACTTGCCCTTTATAACAAAATCTCTTGTCCTTCTACTCAAAAMACAAAAACTAAAAACTAAATGCAAGCATGTGATTCTAGAATGGGTACTAGACCTAACAAAAATATATGTAGAGCTAGGCCCAGTGATAAATGCCAGCAATTCAGGAAGCTAAAGCAGGAGAATCATGTGTTCGAGGCCARTCTTGACAATTTACTGAGACCCTAAACATATAGTGAGGCCTTGTCTCAAAGTCTCAACATTAAAAATAAAAAGGGCCAGGAGGTGGCTCAGTGGTAAAGCACTCCTGGGTTCAATCCCCAGTATAAAAAATAATGTATATGTTTTCTTTCTCTATGAAGATATTTTTGGAAAAAAAAATAACAACAAAAGGTATAATTGGAACCATTGGCAAAACCTATAAAGCTTGTAATCTATATAAATAAATGGATGATTGTTCATTCCCCCACCCACCCCACTGCAGTACTGGATATTGAACCCAGATATGCTCTCTGGTGGAGCTACATCCCCCAACCCTTTTTCATTTAAGACAAGGGCTCACTGAGTTGCCCAGACTGGCCTTGAACTTGGGATCCTCCTGCCTCAGTCCCACCACACCCCGCTGAATGTTCATTTTCTGTTTGTGATAAATGTRCTATAGTTACATAAGAGAATGTTCAAGTTTCAGAAGATACACACTAACAGATTTAAAGGGAGAGAGAGACCATGTCTGCTACTTTCACTTTGGCTCAGGGAAAAAAAAAATGAATATAAAGGATGACAAAGAAAATGGGGCCAAATGTTCATATCTGAATGACTGTCAGGGAATTCTTTGTACTAGTTCTGCACCTTTTCTCTAAGTCTAGTCTAAAATTATTTTATAAGATTTTAAAAACCAATAACTTTTCAGCAGGAAGAAGGAAGGAAAGGTAAGAAAGAAGCTAAGGAGCAAGAAAGAAGGAAAGGAAGCAGGGAAGGCAGCAGCTTCTCCCCCAGGCTGCAAAACAAAAGCAAATGAGGTGAGATCCACAAAGTAGGCTTTACCTGGGTGGAGGTGCACACCTGTAATCCCAGTGGCTTAGGAGGCTGAGGAAGATTCAAAGCCAGCCTCAGCAGTTTAGCTAAAATTATTCAATGAGACCCTGTCTGTAAATAAAATATTTTTAAAAGGGCTGGGGATGTGGCTCCCAGGTTAAGTGCCCCTGGGTTCAGTCTCCTSCCCCACACACATACAAAAAAGGTAGGCTTTGGCTTCACAGACCAGTTTAACTCAATACCTGAGGCTAATAATGGCTTTGTGATCTTGGGGGTGTGAGAGGAGCTTTCTCAGTCYTCTGACATATAATCATGGTAAACAGGCCTCACCTCAGGCTGCTAATAATAAATTCCCTCATAATAAAAAGCAGTTCTCATTTGTGCTTCCCAATTGTTGAATTACTAGATTCCACCTATCAGCCCTGGGAAGGGCTGCTTTACAGCTGGGTAAACCAGGGCACAGGAGTACAGCCCAGGTCTAGAGCCAGTTGCTGGGTGAAGGCAGAACAGGAACTCGGTCTGGCTCCATGGAGGAAATCAAGGACCAAATACAGGTCTGGAGCAGAGACTTGTCTATCCAGTACTGAGCCCCAACACCACACCTCCGCCATGAACTGCCCAGAGGACAGCCACTGCACCCCCTGACAAGATCCCTTCCAAGAGGCCTCCAGGGTCCTGGAAGCCAAAGTCACCCTTACCTCTTCACCCTAACAAGGAGCACTGGACTTGTTAGTGGGGCCCTAGGAGGGACATGAGACCACACAGAAGCTGCTGTGACTGCAGCGAACATCAGCAGCTCCATCCAAGCATTGAATACTGTCATTACCTGAGCCACTCAATTCATTGACTCTGATGGCTCTTTTCAATACACTGGGCCTGCCAGACACCAGGCAAAGCACTTCACAGCGGTCTGGTTACTTCAGTAACCAGAATGATTGATCAAACAACCATGACTGATCCTTTCCACCTCTCAGATGAGGATGAAGAACTCCAAAACATCTCATGTGACATGAGATGGCCATGTCACAGACCCTGGACACAAACTCACAAAACTGCTTCAAAAATTTCCCACATGGAATGCAAACTGAGCTCTTTACATTATGTTCTCCCATTGCCACAGGCCAGAATCACTCGGATCCAAGCATGGCCCCATCTTGAAGAAACACAGACAGATGCCTCCCCCAGCCTGCTGCACAAGTAGATCAACATACCCCAGGACCCCTCACCTGGAGGGCTAGTCCACCTCCTCTCTTGGTGTTCCSAGCCCGGGGCTGTTTGTTTTGCTTCATCCTGTCCTGGCATTTAGAGCAGCACTGTACACAAGATGGCTTAATTGGGCAGCCAGGGCCCCTGGAGTCTCCACACCTCACGGTGYGAGGCCAGGCCCAGCCTCTTGCTAATTACCAGTTGTCTCACCATGGCAACTCATACCTGAGATGTTGTAGCCAGTGGCAACTTTCTAATAACAGATTTGGTACTYCATCCTTCCACTCTCCAAGCTTAGTCACTCAATTGTGGGCAAGACCCTCTGGGAGCATGGTGGACCAAGGCGTGTAACCATAGAGAATGGCATGATTGTAACCCAGGTAGAAAAAGTATCAGACTGTTAGGTGCACAACAGATTAACTGGTGGCCAAGAGGGTCCCATTCACATCTCATCCTTCCCTTTCTGCATTCACTTGTTGACAAGGAGACGTTTAACCTCAGAGATGTTTGTCTGGGGTCCTTTTTCTTGTGTCATGAGAGGCTCTGGCTTAATGGCAGACACACATACAGTAAATCCTCAAGGAATAGTCTGGGGTGTCAGTTCACAGAGAACCAGCCAGACTCTACCTAAGCACCATTCCCAACCAGGACGGGTGGAGGACAACTTGGCAGTTTGGAAGAAGTGCCAAGGAAAGCACAAGGAGAATCAACCCTGGGGGTTTCTTGGTGGATAAAGAGATGTCTCAGCTTTCTTTAAATGAATTAGCCATGTTTGGGTACCAAGGTTCAGACTAGCTCAGTGTGGTCAAGGAAGAGCACATTCAAAGTCCTAGAGCATACATTATAAACTGAAGGGGGGGACCAGCAATCAATTGTCATAGTCCTCCAGGGGATACAGTTTTCAGGACACTGCCCTAGACACCAAGGGCCATGTCTTCCTGGGCTACTGTCCTATTCCACACTGTTTTTTAATTTTTAATAATTATATTTAATATTTTTAATATTTTTTAGTTTTCGGTGGACACAACATCTTTGTCTGTGGTGCTGAGGATCCAACCCAGGCCGCACGCATGCGAGGCGAGCGTGCTACCCCTGAGCCACATCCCCAGCCCCTATTCCACACTGAATGAATGAAATGACCTATTTCCAACACCAACCTTACCACATTGGCCAGGCCCTCCCATGGCCCACCCCCAACCACCTGACCTGCAGAAGAACAAAAGGAAGAACAAAAAGCCAGACTGCCAGGCTGTTATAGAGAAATACTGATTTTAATTAAACAGCCTAAAAATTAGMGAAAACAGTTGAAAACAAGGCACGGTTTTTCCCCATACTTGTTATGTGGCTCCAGTTACCAAAAAAAATTTTTTAATGCAAATGTTAAACATAAAAATAGAAGTCTTGAGAGTATTTTTTAAAAAATGTATAAAAAGCCCCAACATTGTCAAGGTTGTTCCTGATTCTGAAAATAGCACCAGATAAGGAGTAAAAGGTGTTAAAAACCACTACAACAGCATTTCTGAAATGCAGCTTGTCCGACCTCTCTTTCCCCTTAAAAATATGAYGTTATCATGGAATAAAAAAGGATTTTAAAATCTCTGGAGGAAGGATGCAGCTTTTATTGCAGCTTTCCCCTGCCATCTCTTAGATGAGGGGCAAGTGTGAGGATTGTGCTTCTTTCCCTGAATGTCCAGAAAGGATGAGGAATGTGAGCATCCAGGTTCTCATCTGGGGACCTGTGCCTGTAGGTGCATGGATGGGGGGGGGGGTCCTTACCTAGCTCAGCCCCCTCCTTCATGCCCCGCACACAGGAAAGAGGGAGATGACTATAATATATGGCAGCTTATATATAATTCCAGCCCACCACTTCCTGAGTGCTCCAGAGGCTTCTATTGCAGATTCCAGGAGGGATTTAGCTAAGGGGGGCTCTTGCCCTTGGGTTTATTTGGGGAGGGGGGAATTGCCCTGAATGAGATGATGATGATGATGTCATCCCTGCTGAATCACCATCATGGTGAGAAATACTCTAATGGCTAATGGCCTTGGACTGAGACAAAGGGAATGTGGTATCACAAAGAGGTATCACTTCCTCTTCTGGTAGCCCTAGGGAAAAAACATTCATGCTGGGCCTTTAAAATGTCCCTCACCATCTACAACTACACACAGAGCTGTAGACACTTTTAAAAAGTCTTGCAAAAACAGTCTTGGGTGATTTGGCATTCTAACCTGAGTATATGAGGGCTGTGGGTCTGTGGTTTTGGTATCTTAGCCATTGTTTCTCTGAGTGGTAAACCCAAGAGGGAGGAAAAAAGCCATTTTACTATCTACTTCAAGTTTTAAAGTTTTAGAAGAAAAAATGAGCACCGTGTTTGGCTGCTCAGAGCAGCCAGGTCGGAATTGTGCACAAGGGGGTGGCACCTTGGCGGCCCCCTGCAGGAGAGGATCAGGTGGCTCTGCTCCCAGTGAGCAGGAGGATTAAGGTATGAGGGGAGACCCAACAGCTCAGCTGGGGGCAGACTTGGGATGCCTTTAGGGATCAGGGTGCCTTCTGGTTCCTGGCTCTGTCCCAGGAACCCTGGTGCCCCAGCAGGCCTGGGTAGAACTATTCACACGCAAAGTAGTCCTTCAGGGGGGCGAAGAGGTGTCGAATGACGGGCACACTCCAGGACCGCCCAAGCAGCTTCTGGCGGGCACCACGGCCCATGTTGGACACATCCGTGTAGTGCACAGGAAAACCGAAGATCCTGGGGGGCGCCAGAGGGAAAAGACAAGGAGTGAGAAGGGCCCATCCCTCTAGCATGCCCACAGCCTCTGGGGAGGAAATCCTCATCTCAACCAGTCCCTTCCCTTCACTCAAGCCCCCTGGGCCTGCAAATAACCCTTTGTTGAACACCAGGAGGTCCAGATGGGCTGGTTCCTCAGAGCCCTTGCTCATGTGCACGCAGTGCACATGCCTATAATTCCAGCAACCTGGGAGGCTGAGGCAGGAGGGTCATGAGTTCAAGTCCAGCCTCAGCAACTTAGTGAGGCCCTATCTCAAAATAAAAATAATGGCAGAAGATGTGCTTCAGTGGTTAAGCATCCCTGGGTTCAATCCCAGTACGTGTACACACACGTACACACACACACACACATATATACACACACACGGGGGAGGTCAGGAAAACTTGATCAAATGATCATCATGAGGCATGGCTCCTCCAAAATCATGAGTTCAAGCCCAGCCTCAGCAACTTAGCAAGACCCTGTCTCAAAAAAATAAAAAAGGATTAGGATGTGGCTCAGTAGTGAAGCATCCTTAGGATAAATTCCAGACACAAAAAAATTTTTAAAAATAAAAATTAAAAAAAAAACAATGATTTTCAATCACAGACTAATAGTGAATATATCTAAGCATTCCAGTTTTGTCCATAGGGATTGAAATGGCCTGTTAAAAAGCAAGATGTGCTGAATTGTCCAGGTTTAGAACCAGTACTAAAAATAAAATCAATGGACTAATAACCGAAAGGGTGCAACACCCCAGGCCTGTGTCTTGCTTTGCCATAGCATGTACCCTGGGACAAATATCTATAACAACCCTTCCATCATATCTTCACCCAAGTGTGGATACATTCATGAGTAACATTGTTATCCATCAGTTTTCTCTCTGTCAGAAGTTACTTCAATCCCAAGATAGCTATAGTTAAGTGAAATTAAAAAAAAAAAAAAAATCAAACCAGAGTTAAAATACCTAGAATGACAATATTGTTATGAAAGTCTTCTGAATATAATCAATCATAGCCTTTAACATGACTTGCAAATAATAATGTTGAAAAAGACAAGTTAGACCAAAATGGTCAAAACAAAAATATTTACATCCAAAAGCTGGTTCTTGGTATCAAAACAGACAAAATTGGCTCAATTATTAGAAGAAGGTAAAGACAGACCGTGGCTGAGGAGGAATCACGGAGAATGAGCAACTTTGCAMGAGAAAGAGCAGGTCTTTACCTGGTCCCTCACACACCCTAGGCCCCAGGACTAGGAGCTCTCAGGGCAGCACAGGCGGTGCCCGGTGGTACCCTGTGGTGCCCAGTCTGCTAATCTCAGGTTCCTCACGACCGCCCGCCACTTCTGTCCAGAAATAARGGCTGGCTCTATAAGGGCATTTCCACCAACCCCACACACGAGCCTAGGAGACTCTGGAGATATGGCGAGCACCTGCCCCTTGGTGCAGCTGGCCTGGAGGGCTTGCTCCTCCCCTTTCAGCCTCTGTGCAGCCTTGCTCACCTTTCGAGCTCAGTGCACCACAAAACATCTTCTTTGCCATTCATGACAACAGGGAAAAGTTGGTTTTTCCCCTGTTTGATGGAGTTGGACTTGGTGGTTATTGTCTGCACTTTCTTTAACTGGAGAACAAAACGATATATCACGGAGTAAGCACAGCAGGAAAGGTTCCAGGTGGGATCAAGGCTCAAAAGCCCTGAGAAAAGATGGATGGAGCACAGAGGGCAGGTGTGTGGGAGGCGGGGCAGGGCAGGGCTGGCAGTCAGAGTGAGAAAAGGAGCTCATGAAGGACAAGAACATTGTGTGCTTCCCATAAATGCCAAGAAGGTAATGCACAGCAAAGACCAGCCTTGAGAGAATGAAATGAGCACCAGGTACCTATGCATGAGGATCACCGGGAGGGGGGGCCGGGGCCAAGAAGACAGTTATTTATCAAGTAAGATTAAGAAAAGGCAGCCCGAAGTTTGGAGAAATGGTTCTTTGCTTGATGCAGACATGGAGAATTAGGTTCACAGACGTCTTATTTAATACATTATTTATCTGTGATGTGACTGACAGAAGATAATTTTTTTTCCAAGAGCATCATTTACGTTTATTACTGGAAGGGCCAGCTGAAATTGCCTCTTATGTATCCAGCATTAACAATTGGAAAGGCAAGTTGTCTGTTTCCCACAGTGATTACTTGTTTATCAAGAATGTCTCCTACAGACAGAACAGTTGTGTGGGGGAAAGTGGCCCAGCACCAGAGTCACGTGGAGAGAGGGGAGTAGACACCAATAGGACACACCACCAAGGTCACCTTCTAAGTGCCCGCCTTGGAGTCACCCAGTGCGCATTCAGGAGGGCGGTGGGGCGGCCATCTGGGAGCACACCTTACCTTTGCAGTCCTACTGAATTCCAAGCAGTCCTGCAGCTCGAGCTTATCATTCTTTGATGCTATCACAGGCCTGGGGACAGCCAAAACCCATTACTTTCTACCCTCTGCAAAGGGCTTGCTCAGGCCCCTCCCAGGGTGGGAGGAGGGAAGAGTCTTTGCTGCAAAAATGGGCCCAAGCAGTGAACATGCTCCTGTCATGTGATGGGCAACACACCAGGCCTAAGGACTAGTCTGGGTGCCAAGGGTGGACCTGCCCCTGGAGGGGACGGTCTAATTCCAATATCTGCAGCTACTGCCTTACCTCCTGAGTTTTGGCATCRGTCAAAGCCACGCTACCACTGAGGAAAGGAGGGAACAGTGGGCAGGGAGACAGAGACACCCTTGGTTTGCTCATTGATCAAGTCAAGCCAGCTCCTTGGAAGGAAGTGCTGGCGTGGAAACCAGGGCCTCTTGCATGCTAGGTGCTCCAGCACGGAGCCTCGGTTTTACAGGAAGAGCTGGGGCTGGATTTTGGTGGGACTACTTGATACACCAGGACAGCAAACAGAATTGGTGGCTCATTACCAGGGATGCAGGCTGAGGACGCTGGAAGGTGGGGTGAGCCCCAGGAGAAAAGTGATGGGGAGGTGTCACACAAGGATCAATTGGGCTCTTAACAGTTAACTCTGGAAACCTATTTTGCAAACAAAGCGAAGCAAACAGGCCCAAGAAGGGCAAGGGACAGACCCAAAGCATTTGAGCAGTTCCAGGGCGGAAGGCACAAGACATCTGCAAGCAGAGTGGCTGAACACGGGGCAGCCCCGGGATCACGTATTAAGGCCAAAAGGAACTCGCACATGAAGGTGGAAGGTCGAGGAACCACACAAAACCTCTCCCCTAGACTGCAGACCTCCTCCTCCTCACTTTCTAGGTTTCCAATGTCACCCTATTCCTGTCACTCTATTGCAACAGGGCAGRGCAAAACCACAGACTTGTAAAGACTAGCCTGGTGTGACTTACACAAACTAGATGATTTCAGGTCTCAGCCCCTGGTCTCAGTGAGAGAGCTCGGTGGCAGGACCCACCAGCTCACCCATACTCCACCAAGAAACGGGTGTCCCTACGAACCTTCCCAAAGCCCACCAAAGTGAATCTGTGATCATCCTTTAGCATATCAATGTGTCCAATCCTGTATTGGCAGCAGCACAATGGTGTCTGGTTCTAAACGTGAACATGGTACCATTTGATAGGTTGACGAACCATCGGGTTCGTCATGATATCCAATAGAAATTCCATGATATCCAATAGAAATTCTCAGAACCACTCTCACCTCTACTCACATTTTGGTAAATGCCAGAAAATTATCATGCTTCCAACATGCCCTTGTAAAAGGTGTTTTAACCTAACATGTTCCCAGAACTGGGGTGTCAGATGCCACATTTTGCTTCTTAATTAGAGTGTTGTTCTTAAACCACGAATAGACACAATATTCARTCCTTGGCAAAACCCCTTATTGTGGGTCGACATGTCTATCTAAAGAGATCTGAGCTAGCTCTGGTAAAAAATGCAAAGGTGGAAATGTTAGGAAACCTCAGGGAGATATGTTTGGGGCCTACCATTTATCATCTCAACYCTGCCACACACCTGGTCCAGGTCCTTTATTTCAAGGGGAATGGGAATCATAACAATTTCCATGTCCTGACAGATACTGCTATGGCAGCTGGGAGGAAAGGCAGAGCCCAGAAGGAACAACAAGAGGCATCCCTGACATCAACATGGCTCCAGCACCTGGCACCAGAACCAGGCCTGTCTGCTCACCATCGGGAACAAACAAGTAGGCCTCAAGTCCTGGCCCAAGATTCCTAGAAATACCTAACAGGAATCAGCCCTGAAAGACTGCAGATTGTTCTGAAGCCCWGACTGGGGTTGTTTCTCAGCACAGACAGCACTTTCTAGAAGACTGGAATGTGAAAGCTAACATCTGAATTTTTCTTGGCTGTTACCTGGGGTCCCACTAAGAGTCCCCTGTTACCTGTTCATCCCAGGTAGGTTTCCCCAGAAGTATCGAGCTCTGTGAGCAGCAGAAACTTTGATAGCATCAATCATCACTGGGTTGCACTGCAGAGAGAGAGAGAAGGGGAGCTGCTTGGAGACTACATCAGATGTCAGTGGTCACTCAGAGCAGGGCTTGAGGATGCAGGCGACTGAACTGCCCCTGGCTATGGAAGAAGGATGGATCTTCCAACCAGGATATAGGCCAAGATCCACCTGGTGGATAAGGCCATGGACAAAAGGAACAGATCAGACCTTCAGATTCTGAGAAAAGGTACCCCCAAACAGCAACTCATATCAGAGATCTGGCAAGTAGAGATCTGGGGTGAAAGGGCATCTGGGCCATATACAGCTCTGTACCTCTAGCTGCCAAGTTCACAGAGCATCAGGTACCTCCCTGAGGCTCAAGCTATTAACATTTTGGTAAACACAAAAAAGTATTTAACAGGGCTTGTTGTCTATTAAATAGAATGTAATTTAATTTCCCTGAAACCTCAAAGCATCCATTTTCACAACAGGAACATTGAATTAAATTTCATGAAGAAGGTGGCTGCATTGTTGCCGATTTCTGTGGGTTATGGGATCTGGTCGACCCCAGCCAAGACCCTGGGAAACACCAGCAGTGTATACTRCCAGCGGGGCCTTCCCTGCCCAGGTTGCCTTTGACCACCAGAGCCCTCTGGGCATCCTCACCTCCAGGAACCGTGAGATGTCCCTCTTGTCGTCGACCTTCATGGCTACAACATTCTCAAACATCCAGAAGAACGGCCGGTCATCCCCTTCTTTGGGGCGTGAGTAATTGAGCAGGTGGTAGAATTCGAAGAAGAGTCGGCCAGTGCCCTCTGTGCCCAGACAGGAGAGAAGGGGACCAATCAAAGCCTTTAGCAAAATCCCCAGAGTTCTTTAAAACCACAGTAAGGACAGCACCATGAGGTTCCATCTCMCTAAGGTCCTGTGGAATGACTAAGAGCTCAGGGTGGAAAATCTGCTTCCATAAAAATGGAAGGAAGGGCTGGGGATGTGGCTCAAGYGGTACCGCGCTCGCCTGGCATGCGTGCGGCCCGGGTTCAATCCTCAGCACCATATACAAACCAAGATTTAAAAAAAATTCTCTCTCCCTCTCTTAAAAAAAAAAAATGTAAGTAAGATCAATGGAGAAAAAGAACAAGAGGGAGGAAGGGAGGGACGGAGAGGGGGAAAGAGGAGGAAATATGGAATGAATTTAACAAAATCATGTTATAAGTATATATAAAGATACCAAAGGGAACAATCAGAAATAAACAAGGGAGAGAAAAATCAAAAGAAAAGAAGATGTGGGAGGAAGACAGAGAAATGGATATTGAAATCAAAYTCCTCGTAGGCATGATTTTGTCAAAATGTACCCAACTGCTGCTTCTAACCATAAAAACAGGCAGGACAGTGTCCTTTCTTTGTGGGTCAAGGATGTACAACATGGTTTGGACAGGGCCTGAGGCACCTAAAACAAAGCTCCCTCTCGAGGCTCCACTGGACCAGACTCAGGTGTTGCCTGTGGGAGACAAAGTTGTTATGGGACAAAGAAGAGCTGCTCACCATACAGGCCTTTCCGGGCAGGATTCACATTTGATAGGTCATTGCATGGGCTTCCACCGATCACCAAATCAAATGGACCCCACTCTTCAATCTGAGGGACCAAAAGAGACAGGCTCAGGGCAAGAGTATTTCCCAGGTAACTACCAAGAAAACCTCCTTCTAGCATCTTCCCTGGTCAGCAACTCCAAGGAAATGCACTCCTCACTACTGCCCAAGATGGAAACCAGTCTGTGGTTCGCTTTTGGGGTTAAGTAAAAGACACAGGGTCTCTTCTACCCGAAACCCCGAGGCTCACATGGGAGTAGGGGACATTCGGGGTATAGGGGGCAAACATGAGGAGACACAAGCCCCCCCGGGGAGAGGCGACCCTCACATTTTTCTTTGTGATGTTCCTAACGTCATTCACATATTTGATGTTGCCCTCGTGCTTCACGGTTCCAACGGCGATGGATTCTTCGCACACTTCCGAGGCAACATACTTTTCCACTTTAATGCCCAAGTCTTTGAGGACCAAGTAACCTGCAGGGGGAGAGGGACACTTGAACACAATGAGAGCAAGGGCAGAGCAGCTGGCTGGCCACAGCTTTCTGCCCTGGCAGAACAAGGACACTCCTCGCTACAGTAACTGGCAGTGTAAGAGTCAGCGCAGGCGAAGGCCACGGGGCACCAGGGAGAGGCTGTGTCTACTCCGTCTGTTGGAACTGAAAAGTGGAAAGAGCCAAGACGGTGGTAACTGTCACCTGACTGATGGACAGTATATTTGTTCATGTGGAGTGAAAAATTAGATGCCTGCATAGAATTAAAAACCACTAAAACAGGACTTAGAATAAGGGAGAAGGCAGAATAGGAAGAGAAGCCAGGGGCAGGGTCCCTGAGGGCATCTGAGGCCTTGAGACTGCCTGGCTGCTCACCCTTGTGGAAGCAGAGCCTCCCTAGTGAACTTACCTGTGGCAATTCCATCGAATAGTGACAGGACTCTAATGGGCCGCCTTTTGGCTGCRGGAATCGCAGGGTACAACTTGGGGGCCTCCTGCCAGATAAGGAAGGAGGGTCACAGAGGTGAAGGAGCAGGGGAAAGACTCATCCTCTGAGGAAGGGAGGGGTCCAAAGTCGGCTGTGGCTGCCACAGAAGCTTTGATGGGAACTGGCAAGGGAAGGCACCCTGTGCCACTATGCCTGGGGGCAGGGAGTGGCCGCCCTATTCCCAGGCAGGAGGCGTGTCCAAGCACTACAGGACAGACCCTCAACAGCAATTATCCAGGTGCTCTGGCTAAGAACAGGAAAAAAACTATAAAGAAAAAAAATTGAGATGTCCCAGGTTTCCCGGTCCCTGTCCCTTGTAGCTCAACAACTCCGCAGGCTTTTTTCCACAACCATCTCTTCATCAGGCCCACACTGAGAAGCCAGGGACAAAGAGGCCTCATTCAGAGCGGGGGGTCGGTCTGATCTGATTCCCTAACACCTGCACTCTTTTGAAGGCTACCTTCAGACCAGTGGCCCTGGGGCCTGTGGCTTACGTATTCGAGCCCCGGGTCGCTGGTGAAGAAGGTCTGCAGGCGGACATTCCAGTCCTTCCGGCGCCGCAGGACTCCGTGGCAGCGCTGGGGGAGACACATGTAGCAGCTCCAGGGCTCCTGCAGCTTGGCGTCYTCTGCTGTGCCCTTGCCCACCAGCACCTCCAGACACTCCACACAGAAGCACCTGTACCCAGTGGCCAGGGAGAAGCTCTGTCACCAGGAYGCCTTCCCTAGGTAGATGGCAACTCACAACTTCAGCATGAACAGCAAGGTCCTGCATGAAGTGGGCTAAGTGACAAGCCCTTTTACTCAAAAAAGCATCGAGTACACTCGGCACTTCTTATAATTCCTACCAATTGGCAAAGCTTCAGAGAGGGACTCTTCCCTGAAGCCCCCTGTCCCACTCTTCCCCATGGGGCAGAGCACATCCCTATTTATCCATTTCTAGTCCTAGGACAACTACAATCAGTATGGCACACRGTGACTGTGGTCACAACTTCCACTTCACCTTAGCTCTCGGGGTGCAGGCCTGAGATTTCAAAAACAGGCAGCTGTCCCAAGACTGCAGGAACTGCAGGGTACAACTCGGGAACCCTGCGGCCCTGAGGATGTGCCCATAGGGGCCAGTGCTCACCGGCAACAGCTTGTATTGCTGCAGAGAAGCAGCTCACGGCCCTCACAGCACACGGTACAGTAGGACTGGTAACCATCATCGTCGTACATGTAGAAGAGCTCAAGGAAGCGATCCTGCAGTCATGGAGAAAAGTCCGTGAAATCAAAGAATAGGGACAGCCAGGCCCAGCTTGCCTGGTGGCCCAGGCCCTAGAACACAGCCACAGAACAAGTCAGAGGTGGCCTGGTATCCTTTAGGGGACAACTGGCTCTGGTTTGCAAGCCATTATAGATGAAGCTGTCTACTGGGCCACCCTCCCCTCCAAAAGGAAGACTGCAGGGAGCTGGAGAMCTGGGAGACTTTCACTAATGCCTGTGCAAGTACCATCTGTGGGGAAAGGACCTGGAAGATTCTGGAGGCAGGAAGAGGCAAGTGCAGGGCAAGGGGARGAGGACTTACCCGGCACGTCTGGCAAAGCCCACCCTCAAAGAGCGGGTGAAAGGACACTGGGTTTTTCCTACCACAGGATAAACAGCTATCTGTAAGGAAGACAGGGCCACAGGTTATGGCAATTACAGCCACATGGCCAGTTCGAGCAATCACTGCAAGCTCACAAGTGTGCCTATCCCAGAGCCTGGGCCCGCCAGGCTCACACACACAAAGAGCAGGCCGAACTGGTTAACAATACTTGAGTAGCAGCCCCTCCTACAGAGGAATGTTTTGAGGACCTGGTGGGACAAGTTGGCCATGGTATCACAGCAACTTGGGAGGCTGAGATCATCAAGGCCAGGCTCAAAATTACCCCTATAAAAGGTCAGAAATTTGGTGCAATAGCACTCCTGGGTTAATCCCTTTTAGGGGGGGAGGGGATTATAACACTGAAGCATTTGTAGTGACTCCAAATAGCTTTTGATGGCTGAGGACAGGAATTGCCCATGGCATTTCCTATACAACACTGAGCTCAAGTCCCCACCAATATGCCATTTTGTCCTGGTGTCCTATCAGTAGGTCTGAAGTTGTTTCAGTGACTTGTTGGATAAGATCCTTCTTGCCACAAACCAATCCTTCTACMGTGAAGGGGTCTCAGGTTATATGGATGACTATACATTGAAGGTTCCACAGTGTCCAGGAATGCTCCAAAACTGGGCTTTCCCTGGGCCAGGGACTATCTTTGTCTACTCAACACACATCTGTGCCACCGGGCTGAGGAAGAAGGGGCTTGCAGGTACTTCCTCACGTTCATTAGGTCTGTATGGTTAGGTCTGTTCCAGAGGAAGTTCCCAACTCGCACATGCTGAACAGAGTCACTAACTAGAGAGTGACAATGACAGTGTGTGCCCACCATTCACCTAAAAGCTAGTTCCTGGAGGACCTTGCTTTCAGGCTGTCTTGGCTCAAGTGCCTCCGTTTGCATTCTTCTCATCCCACCTCCCTGCYCGCTCAATTAAAAATATTTCTCAATTAAAAAAATTTTTGTAAATTATCCTACTCAGTCTGCACAATGTTCCAACAGGGACACAAATGAGCACAAAGAAGCCCTGATTCAAGCCCAGATCTGTGGGAGAACCCAGGCAGGCCTTGGGTAGTACCCAGAGGGGAGGTAGATGGGGGTCAATGTTACCTTCCAGATTGTTCTTGTTGTTGGTAACATCAGAAACCATTTGTTCTGTTGAGGAGAGAGGGAGAACGTGTCAGGAGATGAGCTCAGGGACAACAGGGTCTTGTTCTGCACCCTCCTTACAGTGTGGTCCTCACACCTGCCAGTGCAGACCTTCACCTCCCCTTCCCCAAGAATCACCTCGGCTCTGATCTTCCTCTCCCCGGTCCTTGCCATTGTTATAGTTTGTCTTGAGGCGCTTGTTTGGGGGACAGTGGTCAGAGGCGGCTGAATCATCAACTGTGCGTCTTCGACTCTTGTTCTCTGTGAAAGGCAAGCAAATAGCAGCCGTGGCTTGATTGGAGGAGGATACAGGATAGGTGGGCCCCACAGGCAGACAACACTGTGCTGAAAACCATCTACRCCTAGGGCATCACAGGGGACTTAACTGGACATGTCCATGACAGGCCACCAGAAGAGGAGCCAATCTAAAACCCTACCCCAGGTTGCAGGATCTTTCCTATGTGGGGGTGGGGGCRGTGAAAGAGCACGTCCTCTTGGACTCGCAAGAGGAAGTATAAAGTGCAATCCACAGCTAAACCCTGACACATCTACAAGTGGTTTCCACCCGCTGCCCAGCAGTCACATGTGGTTACCAAGCATTTGAAATGCAACCAAGTGACTGAAGAATTTCCTTTGTCTTTGAATGTCAACTGAAAATCTGGTAACTCATTTAAAAAAAAGTTCATTTGGTATTAATTTGACATCTAAATCTACATTGAAAATGATTTAGTTAAACTGCATTCAATTGACAATTGATATTTGTATTTAATTCATCTATACTGCATCAACATTTAGCATCAGAATYAAGATAATATATACTGTGTTCATGCCGACAATCCCAGGTCCTCAGGAGGCTGAGGCAGATGATCGCAAATTTAATGTCAGGCTCCGCTACATAACCCTGACTCATAAAYAAAAATATAAGGAGTTGTTGCAGCTCAGTAGTAGAGAACCCCTGGGTTCACTTCCCACCACCAAAAAAGAAAAAAAAAAAATCTTAGAATGTAGCTCAGTGCTAAACAACCTTTGGTTCAATCCCAGAATTAAGGTACATAGGAAGATCTATAAAAATACTTAATTTTTAAGAAAGTCCTAAACAAAGGTGAAAATCAATTTTTACATTACACTAACATGAATACTAGAAACATTAGGTTAAAATGTGTGAGTATTAAATTTTACATGTCCCCTTTCAATGAAAACTACTAGAATATGGTGGCTCCTTTGTATAAATCCCATTCAGTTTTCTATTGAAACATAAAACCCCATTCATTTAACCATGAGGGTTAACTTTGACTCTGCCCTTGAGAAAGAAAATTATATAGCCATCAAAATCATAAGTACTCTTTTAGTGACAAAAATCACAATTGATAAGTGCTTAGACAACGAAAATTGAGAAATAAAGGGAAGGCAGTAGGAATCCAAAAGTGTTCAGAAAAGGCGAAGGATGTGCAACCCAACAAGATAACCTGGGGGAGGGAGTGAGGGGAGAGTGAGGGGGTTCAGATTGAAATTTGATTCTTTTCTAGTGACCATTGCATATGCCAAGAAATTGAAAGAGAAAATAGAATATAGATGGGAAGGGAATACCGTGTTTCCTTGATTCTAAGTTCCTACTGCCTGCACGACGCACCTTCGATTTATTAACCACTTTGTAGGGGAAACAAAACAAAACAGAAAACATTAAATGTATGGATTGTTAAGACACATCCTGCATTTCAGGAAACCACGGGTAWAATGGTGGAAATATGGTTATTGGTCAAAATGTTTAGGGTGTCACACTTAAGGTTTTCTCCAATGACCAGTTTAATAATTTTTTTTYCYTTWAAAAAAAGAAAGGATGCTTCCTCTTATTCAACTTTTCATGAGATTCAATCTCGGTTTATGTGTATGACATTAATTTAGCATGAAAGTGTCCAATGAGGCCAAGAAAGCTTGGCATGGCCTTCATCTGCACTAGATGTTTCTCACAGGCCTGGGTTCACAGGACACAGTTCACAGGACCCGGAGGTGGCTGCAGATCAGCTGGGTGGGGCATGGGCAGGTGGGGGTGGCACTGTCTCTCAGCTGGCAGTGGGCGCTGCCTCAGGGACTCATTCCCACCTGGTTGGTTGTTGTTGGGTTTGAGGCCCTCGATCCCAGTGGGCTTGAAGCCCCCGTGGGCCCACTCCAACATGGGCTTCAGCTGGTCCTCCAAAGARTCTCCAGGGCTGCTGGGGAAGGTCTTGCCAGCTCGTACCCTGGCTTTCTGCCAAGATATAAAGGCAGAGTCTATGGTGAATGGGGGCGGAGATACTGCTCACCAGGGCGCACCCAAGGACTCCCCCTGGCAAGGCCAACATTCCCCTTGACACTGGGCCCCATTCATACCAGGACAGCTGTCCTGGGCTGTACCACGTGACCTGGGGAGGAGGAATAGCCTGGGCAGGGAGACAGGCAAGAAATCATGGAACTGGGGGTGGGAGATGGTTAGTATTGTATCTTGCCCTATGGAAACCAAGTATGATCTCTTTCCTGTAGGGAATGAGCTTTCTCTTAACCAGAGGAATCAGAAAAGCTCTGCCACGTTATGACAGTGGAATTCTGTCAGCTCTACCTTAACACCTATGTACCTCMTTCAAGATGGATAATGAAATGAAAATGAGAATGCAGTCAAGCATCCTWTATTACATGGACCATTAGGCTTTGCAGGTGTTATTGAGAGAAACTAGCTGGCTCAGGAATGCCACATGGACCAAAACAATGTCAAGGCAAGGTAGGAGAAGGGAGAGCACGGGATACCATGGCCCACAGACAAGGTGGCCTGAGGTGCTCTCCAATCTTGGCCTTGAAACACTCCACAATCATGGAGCCAGGGGGAGCTTTGAGGTCTACTGACATGAATCTACTGACATGAATGAACCTCCCACATACACACCTTTCCTGATTCAGACACTAATAATGACAGGCAGCAGGTGGGAGACCTCCCAATCAGGCCACCAACACTGGTAATGTTCACCTCCTCTCTGATGGCACTGTGCCCTCCAAGCCATACTTGGCCTCTCAGTGACCTGAGCTAGCTCTCAGTAGACCTCGCTTCCTCCAGGATGAGGACCTCACTCCCCACTCCCATGTTACCTCCAGGGCCTGGTACATGGCCTTCCTGTATGACACCAGTTTATTGAAGGTGGCCTGGTTAAAATGCTGACTGAACAGSCCCAAGGCCACCAGTTTGTCTGCAGAGACCTAGAAGAGAAAGACATCATCAACATCTACCTAACATCTGTAACTTCAGGAAGGAAGATTTTCACAGACTTTATGTGACAGCCCATTCCTGGGGACAAAAATCACAGATGTCAATCCAGAAAGGAAAGAAAAAAAAACAAAAAACAAGAAAAATGAATGGTACACAGAGTCCTGATACAAATAGAGGCAGCAATGGCACATTCTCCTCCAGAGGTGGGCAACAAGGACACACAGGGTATATATGTTGAGGTGTGAGGGGTGAGATCATTGTCCCAGCAACAACCCTGAGGCTTGGGTCTGTAATTCACTGTGCATACACTTTGTGTGAGATGTTTTGCTTCCCTCATTCCTGAATAAGCCTGGTAGTTTTCTCTTCAGCTTTGGATTAAATAATTTCAGATATAATCGATTTGATCATTTAGTTATTTGATTTTATGTATTGCAACTTGACATGAATCTATCAGTGCCAAGTCCCTAGGCCAAGTGGGAAATGAAGTGTCCCAGGCAGCTGATCAGAGGTATAGGACACATATGCAGTGCCATGGTCCTGAGTGTACTCCAAGGCTCTCCTCCGCTTTGTACATAGAGACTGATCTCCACAAAGAGGTGTGGCCACCATTCCTGGAGAAACTGCTACCAGTTGCTACCAGTTGGAGCCACACACAGACAAGCACTGTGCAGGCTCAGGGCAGAGTCACACTCTCCTTATCATCTCAYCCCGCAATTCCAACAGTCCCATTATTGCATCATGAAAACCATTTTCAATGTCACTGGGTCAAGACAATTCTAAGGAAGTAACCCTCCTGGGACCACGGCACTGCACAGGTGTCCTGTACATGTACATACAATCAGGGGCTTCCTGGCTAAAATAGGCCCAGCACACTTGTCCTTCTGCTCCCTCTGCTGGTCAGAGAGGACATCTGCATGCAGTGTCACCAGGCAGTCACATGTCTTACTGTGATCAGCCTTGAAGTGGCAGGAAAGAGGCCAATTCATGGAAAAACTAGAAGCTAGAAACCGGGAACAAATTAGATGATAACTCATTCCCACATTTTGCTTTCATCTCACCCAGCTTGTTAAATACCTTAGGAACCTCACAAAACCTGCTGGGAATTAAAGGTTGGACTGACTTTTTGGTTGTTTTTGAAAGGATACTAAAGATTGAACCCAGGGCCACCTTTTTTTTTTTTTTTTTGTAACCCATCTCCCTTCTTATTGAACAGAGGCATTTAACCACTATTATTTTAACAAAAGGTTTTGTTAAGTAAATTGCTTACAGCATCACTAAATTGCTGAGGCTGGCTTTGAATTTGTAATCCTTCTGCCCCAGCGTCCTGGGCCACTGGGATTGCAGGCATGCATCACCAAGACAAGATATTCCTAATTTGAGAGTCTCACTAAATTGACCAGCCTGGCTTCATACTATAAAATTATAATTATTAGAATTATAGGCCCACCACCAGGTAAGCACACAGGTATTGACTGATATCCCTAAGACCATGTCAGGAAAGGTCTTCTTCCTGCACTACTCAAACCAAAATCTTTTGCAGATCTCTTAACTGCACAAGCTTTCTTTTTTGTTTTGTAGGGCAGTGTGGGTGGGTATGGAGGATTGAAGTCAGGGGCACCWGACCACTGATCCACATCCCCAGCCCCATTTTGTACTTTATTTAGAGACAAGGTGTCTCACTGAGTTGCTTAGAACTTCACTGTTGCTGAGGCTGGCTCTGAACTTGCTATCCTCCTACCTCAACCTCCCAATCTGCTGGAATTACAGGCGTGTGCCACTCCTGGGTTGCACAAGCTTTCTTTCTACAGGAGATAAAAACTTAATATAGCCCAGCTGATACAGCATAAATGAGGCCCTGGGCCCAGCAGTATAACTATTGAGGCCCAGCACCTCAATAGTTAAAAATAAACAGAATTCCAGCAGAATTCATGGTCAAGGAAATTTTTTTTAAAAATGGCTCATATCAATCAAAGAGGCTCTAAACTATAAATTTTTCATAACATGCCTCAAGGCAACCTAAAACCCACCTATAGGGGCAAGGCAGGGGTGCCCACCACATCCCCATTGCAGTCCTATATGAACAAATGGTGACCATCCCTTCTGATCTTTCTACTGAGTACATTTGGGTGCCGACCCAGGAAGACAACCCCTAAAATCTCAGATAGGTATATGATCTGCCCCAGAGAAGTAAATCCAATAAGTAAATATAGCCTGGTGAATCCAGAGGACTTTCCACCCCTCGCTTGTCCCCTTTGGAAGTGCAATGAGCTTCTCTTGCCATCAACTCAAGTATCTGCTTAGCAGGTGAATACAGGTAAGCAGGGGAGTACAGGTAAGCAGGAAATAAATACAATAAGCAGGGAATACAGGTAAGCATGGATTACAGGTTAAGGAGGAAGTATAAGTAAGCAGAGCATATAGGAAGATTCTGTCCTTACAGAAGACTTTGCTGCATCCTTCTGCAGAAAGATCGCAAATTAACTACCTTGCGCTGGACTCACCTCAGAGAACTTGCCATCACCAAACCACTGGACCCATCGCATGCCGGACATGGCCTGGCGCTTGGAGGTAGCCTTCCAAGAAACCACCATGGCAGGCCACCAGGAGAAGCCCTTGATCTTGCCCCATACCAGGTCCCCTATTCCAAACTCCTTCCCATCCTGGAAGAGAAACCACATAGAAGAAAAACATTTGTGAAGCCATGTCAACCTGGCCAGCTCCTGCCCCTCCACTGACTCCCTCAGCAAAACAAGCTTGGTGCACAGATGTGAGATGTCACTGGTGGGGAGCTCAGACGGCTTGTGAGCAACCCTGGGCGCATCCCCAGCTGCAAGGAAATTAAGTACGGTACAATGTCCTCTGACATAATGCACAGAGTACATCCTGTACCCTAAGTACCTCCATGGGAAGGGAGGCTTCACCCAGCAACACTCATTTAAACCATCATCCAGATCCCTGCATGCATTAAGAGGATGAAAGTACGCAGTGCTGGCAATCTGGCATATAGCCAGATTATAAACATATGTAGGGCATAACTAAAGCAATTATAGCCGGGCTACAATCAAATGCACGAACAGAAACCACATTATGTACTATGTGTTATCAACACAGTATTTACATCCACGTACAAATAAGTGATGTTCAGAGAATCACAATTCACACAGTAACTCTGGTGCCTGACTTAAAATGTCTAGGGGGAAATGGGAAAGACCATGTTGTATATGGAAAATTTAGAATTCAAAAATGGTAAAAATGACAAATTGTAGTACCACTGGGTGGTCTTTAAAATTTATCCACAATAGGTCAGGTGTAGTGACACACCTGTARTACCACCAATTTAAGAGGTTGAGGCTGGAGGATAAAAGCCTAAACAACTTAGTGTCTCACAAAAGATTGGGGATTCAGCCCAGTGAGAAAGCACCCCATGTAACACCCCCCAAAAAAAATAGTACACAGGCGTGGTGGTGGCACATGTCTATAATTCCAGTGATTTGGGAGGCTGAGGCAGGAGAATTACAAGTTCCAGGTGAGATTTAGCAGTTGTCCAAGACCTTGACTCAAATACTGGGAATGCCTGAGTGCCGTGGTGACTGCCTATAATCCAGGGGCTCAGTAGGCTGAGGCAGGAGGATCACAAGTTCAAAGCCAGCCTCTGCCACTTAGTGAGACTATCTCAAATAGAAAAAATAAAAATAAGAGCCTGTGGGTCTAATCCCTGGTACTAAAAAATTAAAAATGTTTCAAAATAAAACCRCTGTGGATGAGCTGGGGATGGTGGTGCATGCCTGTAATCCCAGCAACTCGGGAGGCTGAGGCAGAAGGATGGAAAGTTAAAAGTCAGCCTCAGCAACTTAGCAAAGCACTAAGTGAGACCCCCATCTCTAAATAAAATACAAAAAAAGGACTGGGGATGTGCGACTCAGTGGTTAGTGCCCCTGGGTTCAATCCCAGGTACAAAAAAAAAAAAAAACACTTGGGATGAATGTAGCTCAGCGGTAGCAAAGCCACCAGTGGCTGGCGCCTGTCCTCACATTCAGCATCCTGGGGCACCCGCAGGAGGAGTACCTGGTACTCAGTGTTGTCGGAGTCTCTCCCCTCTGCGTCCACCTGGGAGGTCTCCTGCTGGCTCTCAGCTAGGCTGGCACAGGGGGTACTGCTGCTCTGTGGTGTCACATCGTCCTCCGTGAGGTCGATGGTGAGGTAAGGAGTGGACGGGGATGGCCACGGCGTACCTGGCGAGGCTGTTGACCGCCGCCTTAGGGACTGTGGATGGAAGGACACAGTTTGGGTCACAGCAAAGCAAACCAGGTGATTGGAGACCAGTGATTCCCCCTGTGGCTTCCCAAGTAGCAGAAAGAGGGAAGAAATTGAGGAGGTTCAAAATCACCCAGGACAGTTTTCAAAGGAAGAAGTGTCATTTAAGTGGTAGAAGTCATCACAGCCTTCCAGAGAAAGGACAATGACGGGTAAGTGCCAAAAGGCTGCCAAGCCCCATCTGAGAAGGGGGATCCTGTAACCACCTATTGTGTCCCCACTGGAAAGAGCAGTGGAGTTTTCTGGAACATTAGACACTGAGGCGACAGGACAGTTCTGGAAGTTCCACCCAAGAGCAGGCCAGGAGAGAAGCCATTCAGCGGAGGAGAAGCTTTCCAAAACCCAGGAGAGAAAAGGAAAATCAAGATCCTGAAAAGGAGCCGTGAAGAGAGGACATGGGTCCTGCACCAGCCATGGGTTCTCCCCGTGAGCGGCTGGGCAGGGGCACCAACCCTGGTAGCTGGGAACTCCACGGGAGACTCGTCCACGTGACTGCGGCCCTGGCGGCCTCGAGTGGGATGTGGGAAGGACTTGGAGGCACTGTTGTTGCTATTTCGGGTTCGGACCTGGAAGCAAGACAGGATAGGCACCAGGCCTTAGATGACTGGAGGTGTGGGGACTGGGACTGGGGCCGGACGACAACCGAGGACACCTAGTGGTCGGAAGGCAGTAAGGAAGTTGATGTGCTTGGCTGGTCACAGCACCCAATCCTGGCCAGTGGAGACCAGCGCTGGCAAATGAGGATAAATGCACAATTACCAAAAAYCACACTTCTTTCCCCCAAAAGGAGCATAAAGCCAATTATTGTTTTCYTCAGGAAGGCCAAGGCTCTCATCCAGGAAGGAAAGGCCATTATACTAAACTTTCTCAAAATGGTATGAGTTTGAGTGTTGCAGCCCAGTTCCAATTCTATAGGACTTGATGTTTAATCCTGGAAAGTTACTGGAATCTTTGTGTGTCTAGAATGGGGATAATAGAGCTAGGGACATAGCTCAGTGGGTAGAGTACTTGCCTCATATGCACAATCCCAGCACCACCAAAAAATAAAACTGGGATAATTAGCCAGGCTGGCCTTTAATCTCTACAATGAAGTTAAAGGAGGCAGAAAGCCAGCTTCACAACTTAGGGAAACCCTGTCTCAAAATAAAAAGGGCTGGGAACGTAGCCCAGTGTTCCTGGGTTCAATCCCCCGTATTGAAATTAAATACATAACTAAATTAAATACACATATTAAACTTGGAAAATGAGATCATAATCCATTCRGGAAGTCAGTCAGTCAGTCAGTGTCTGCCTAGTCTCTAGGGGCTGGTGGATCATGAGTGCTAATTGACATCCCATCCTCAGATGTTAAATTCTGAGGTAGAGCGGCAGCATCTATCTCCAAAATGACAAGGGCCCCGGAGGTGACTTGACAGCTGAGCAAGGTGTCTACTCTGAAAATTCTATAATTCTATAAAATTCTATATCACTCTACCATTTTCAAGAGAGGGCCAAAAAAAAGATCTTGAAATCTGCCATAGAAAACATACGGCACCTGAAATAAACCTCCAAACTATGACAGTTCGTGAGTCTGGCTGTGATTTCCTGAATTTTCAATACATTTGTTCACCTGTCTTTCACGTCCCCCCAGGGGGATCCACCCATCCCTGGTAGGAATCCCTGGGCTCTGTGTGTGGGACTTACTGCTGGGCTTGCAGAGCGGGTCCTGGTTTCCCGAAATAGTCTTGGCATCACAGGAGCCTCGGAGCTGTCCCCATCTTCTCCTTCACCATCTGCTTCCCCTGTCAGATCCTTTTTGAAGGAATAACATCAATTTTTCAATGGGAGTCACACAAGCAAAGTAGCTAAAGACTGGATCCCCGGAAACCCTTCATAAAATTAAGCAAAGACACCAAGAAATATTGTCTAAAGGCTTTTGCATTAGTTCGCCACAGGATCACAGGAAAGATAAACCTCAGTGAATCATCAAGTCACAGGAATAAGACTTGATAAGGAAAATGAGAGCTCACCATGATGAGCAAGGGACACCAGGACAGTTTCCACCACTCGCAGCACATGGGGGAAAATGCACGGAAACTGCTCACTGGAGACACTTCTTGATATAATGACAAGAAGCAATGCCACCAACCCGGAATCGTGTCATGAAGACGCCAGTGCAGGCTCCAGCCGCACCCAACATGCACAGAGCACAAAAATTGAAACCAAGAGTAGCCAGATGTGGCTAAAGCTTTCAAAAATCTCACTTTTGAAATGGAGCCCATTCCCCTTATTTTAGAATTGGAATAATGTTTACACACAGCACAACAGGGTTATAACAAGCCTCAAATAACACAGGCTTAGCCTAGACACAGGAAATCCTCAGATGGATTTCATTACTTTTACTGATAACTAACTGGATAACACAGTAGCATTCGTGAGGCTGTGATCCAGTCCGTCTTAACCCTCCATAGCCTTTGGACACCACCTGGATCCCTTATTTGGTGGACCACCAATAAATCACAACAGATGCCGCAGAAAGATGTGTGCTCACTGTCTGACTTCTGCCCATGACTGTCCCCACGGCTTGCCATGGGCTGGGGTTATAGCTCAGCACCACATAAAAATAAAGATATTGTGTCCATCTTTTATAAAAAAAATCCTAAAAAGAGCAATCCAAGGGATAAAACTAAGACTAATTATAAAAGGACATAAATAAACAAACATGATGGAAAAAATGATGTTGGTAAAACTGAAGAAGTAAAATCTTTAATATTACAGCAATTCTAAAAATTCTTTAAAATCTTGTAAAAAATTTTCTTGAGGCCAGATAACCTGATATCAAAACCACAGTTGTGAAAACTCACATCTTCTATTCATTCTATTCATGAATAAATGAATTTCAAAACAAAATTGCCAGGCTCAGTGGGGCATGCCTGTAATTTCAGTGACTTGAGAAGCTGAGAAAGGAGGATGGAAAGTTTGAGGCCAGTCTCAGCGACTTAGGAAGGACCCTGTCTCACTAAGGGCTGGGAATACAACTCACCCCAGGCTCAATCCCTACTAACACAAACACACACACAAAAGAAGAATTATGAATTATGTCATAGCTGTCCAGGTTAAGAAATAATTTCATACACAGGAAGCATTCAGGAAAACAAAACTTCTCAATTTAGTTTGGGGGAAAAAAAAAGATTAGCTTCACTTGTCATTAGCAATTTGAGCCTCTGAGACCTACTGGATGGATAAAAATATTATAGCTAATGTCCTGGAAGGGGAACGTGGGAAACTACCTGAGTGTAGCTGATCAGGCTGGAGACCTCCCTCTTGGACAGGCGGGAGCTGGATCTGCGGCCTAGGGAGCAGAGCAGAGTTTAGGAGCAGAGTTTAGGAGCAGGCCCCTGCCAAGAGCACAGCCTTGCTGATGGCTGTGGCTTGAGATCTTGCGGACCATGTTGCCTCGGGAATGAACTCTCTCTCAGGCCCTCGRTACTCTTGTCCCCTCCATGGACTCATAAGCAACAAGGCACAGAAACAAAATCAGATCCAAAACAGTTCTGAGGGGAGCCATCTGAGTCTGTGACCAAGAACTGCATTTAAAGGAGGAAGTCAGGTCCCTTGCTGGTAGGACACTAGCTTAGCATCCGCACCAGGCCCTGGGATCAGATTCCAGGCATCACTAAAATCCATCAATAAAGGCTGGGACAGGAGGTTGGCCAGTTCAAAGCCAGCCTCAGCAATGAGGAGGCACTAAGCAACTCAGTGAGACCCTGCTTCTAAATAAAATACCAAATAGGGCTGGGGATGTGGCTCAGTGATGGAGTGCCCAAGTTTAATCCCTGGTACAAAAAAAATAATAAGTCAACAATTCTGCATCTGCCCTTTCAGCCACACATCCAAAACACAGACATGTGGCTATTAGGGTTAACAATGCAGAAAAAGGCCACTGTCACTCTTGCATTAACAGAAAGTTCTAGAGGACAGCACAGAACAGGAAGGGATGGGGGTGGGCGGTGTGAAAACCAAAACAGGCAGAAGGCCTAGTGAGGAGGTCTGGAAGTGCAGCAGGGAGGGTGCTGCAAAAGCAAGCCTCAGTCCCAACCACAGGCCTGGGAGAGGGGTTGGTCACACTGTAGAAGGGCCAGAATCTTTGCCTGTGCAGGCAGGATCACCCTATGACTAGTGGCCAAGGACAGGAGAGCCAGAGTCCCAGCTGAGGGGAGGAATGGGAGGGGCTGAGGCAGGGAGAATGAATGAGGGGCTTTGGCTGGCCACATCCTCCTGGGCTGTGATAGAGCTGAGGTCTGTCTGCAGCGCCCACCCAAGGTATCACCTGACCCCCAATGACTCCCATCTGGCCGGCCACCTCTGATCTCGGGCGAGCGGATAGCCTCCAGGATGGGGGGCGAAGGGGCGTCCTTGGAGTCGGAGGACTGGTCACTGCTGGCCCCGTTGATGAGAATGATGGAGTCCTCCCTCCCGCTGGCGCCCTCCTCTTCACTGAGGTGTCTGGTGTCCCCCTTCATCGTTTCCTGTGGGAGAAGGCCAGAATGGGTAGTGGAAGGGAGGCAGGGGCAGGGATTAGCACAGCCCCCATCTTCCCACCAGTGGCTTGATGTCCTCAGGCCAAGGGAGGACCCATGACCCAATCTGAGGATGACATCCTACCCCAGGACCCCACCCAGACGGCCCCCCATAGTCTGCCCCCTCACCAAACTCGGAGGCTCAGGACTTGGTTCCATGTGGCCAGGCGGCCCGAAGGCTCAGATGCCAGCACCCAGGCAGAAGAGTGGACTGGGGCTGGGGTTTGAGGCTCAGGCTGCTCTGTGCAAATAGCTGGCCCCTTCAGACAATGCCATTTAGGACCTAGCTGGCCAGGCCTGCCTGCCGCCAGCCTCAGGTCCCTCTGCCCCTGGCCCCTTCTCCCTGCCCAGCCTCTGCAGGGCCTCAGGAAGCCAGAGCATTATTTTCCCTCCTGACCCCTTTGTTTGCTCTCTCCCTTCCCCTCAATCTCCAGGTCCTCTTCCCACCGCCCCCTCCTCCCCYACAGAACCGCTTCTCTCCTCTCCATGGCAGCACAAGCCCCGCCTAACCCCATCCTCAGGGGCCCATTGGTCTGCTGGACTGTCACTCACTCCCCTCCTCCCTCACCAGCTGGGGCTTGGAGTCCCAAGTTCCCAAGAAGAGAAGGATGGAGGAGGCTCAGGAGCAGAGCCTGGGCAGTTACAGGAGAGGAATGCCCCACACCCCCACCCAGGCTTGGCCTCCCCACCCTGTCCCTTCTGTCACAGCAGTATCACCAGGTCAATCAGCTAAGACACCACTCATGGAATGTGGAAGCTGAAGTGTGGCCCATTCCACAGAGCCAGCACTAATTAGACATTTGTTGGACACAAGAGAGTCTGCACCTTTCTCTCCCAGGGAGACTGTGGGCTCATTTTATGCAAAAAGAAAACTGGTAAATGAAGTTCATCTCCAGAGTCAAAATCACATCCAAGCATCAATGGTAGATCGCACCCCGCTCAGTGGTGAAGCACTTCTTGCCTAGCATGCATGAAGCCCTGCATTTGATCCCCAGCAACACACAAAAATTTTATCCAAGGACTAGAAATGTGCCTCAGTAGTAGAGCAGTTGCCTAGGATTTGGGAGTCCCTGGGTTCAATCCCCAGTTGTGCATGAATAAACAAACAAACAAATAAGAAGGACRGGACGGGGTGCCTGGAGTTGTGGCTCAGCGTTAAAGCCTAGCATGCATGAGGCACTGGGGTCAATCGCCAGTAGTACATAAAAAGGGCCACTATTGGGTACAGACCATATTTAAAGTCTCAGGGCATGGTGCCTAAATCATTAATTTCCAGGTGGGCACAGTAGCACATGCTTATAATCCCCAGATTAATTGGAGAGATTGAGGCAGGAGGATAACAAGTTAGAGACCATTCTCAGCAACTTAGCTAGAACCTCAACATTTTAGTAAGAAAAAATAAAAAGGGCTGGGTGAGGCTCAGTGGTAAAGTGTCCCTGGGTTTAAACACTAATACCAAAAAAAAAAAAAAATTCATTCATTCATTTCAAAAAGTCACTGGAGGCCCTGGGGCTGTAGCTCAGTGGCAGAGTACTTGCCTAGCCAAGTGTGAGGCACTGGGTTTGATCCTTAGTACTGCATAAAAATAAAATATAGGCATGTGGACCAACTACAAAAATTAAAAACCCACTGGAGCTGGGTGCGGTGACAAATACCTGTAATCCCAGAGGCTTGGGAGGCTGAGGCAGGAGAATCATGAGTCCAAACCCCAGCCTCAGCACTTTGGCTACCCTGAGAAACTCAGCAAGACCCTGTCTCCAAAAAAATACAAAAAAAAAAAAAAAAAAGCCGGGAGCTTGGGGTGTACTTCAGTGGTTAAGCATCCTTGGGTAAAATCCCCAATGCCCAAACTCACTGGCTTTTGTTCTTTTTCACCCACCTTCAGTTCGCAAAAATAGAGCCTAGGAGCCGGGTGTAGGCACTGGGCAAATGGCGCGTGCCTGTAATCCCCGCTTCAGGAGCCTGCCGCAGGAGGATCTCAAGTTTGAGGCCAATCTGGGCAATCTGGTAAGATTCTGTCTCAAAATAAAATATAAAATGGCTGGGGATATATTTCAGTGGTAGAGTGTCCCTGGGTTCAATTCCCAATACTACAAACATAAATTAATAATAATGTTAAAAATTAATGCCTCAGTACAGAGCAAGGCTCTAATTCCCTGGTTCCCATTTCAACAGCTCTAGAGGCTGTTTGAGCTATACAGCTCCTTCCCTAGAGGCCTGCCTTGGAAAAGCATCCAGATAAGGTCTCACCTGGCCCTACCTGATAACCCAAGCAAGCTCCCCGCCCAGAGTACCTTCTAGAAATAACACCTGGGGCTGCCTGGCTGCGGGCTGTATTGACCCCACTTCCACCAGGGGGCGCTATGAGAGTCAGTAAGAAGAGGTCCGTGGCGCCCCCAGGTGGATTTGCATAAATTCCATTCTTTAGACCTGCCCATTCCCCAAGCTTGGGCTCTGGGCCACTAGACCTCTGGGATTCCCCAGGTGCCCCCAGGATCCACACCCTTGAAACAGCTGCACTGGCATTACCTGGTTACTGTTTACAACCATGGAATTTTAAGAGAGTCCTACACCTGCTCATCAGGATTTTAAGTAGACTTTACCAAGGTCCCTGGGTAATAAGTACATTAGACAAGCAGAGTTCTGATTAGAGATACTGATACACTGCACTTGGGCTCACTCTGCCCTGTGTGGCCCAGAGTCTATATATATGGATCAGTTTCTGGGCTCTGGCTTTCCCCCACACAGGTAACCTCCTCCCCTACCACCCCAAGACAGGCCTGACCCAGACCCACCAGCTGCTACTCAGCCCTTCTCCCCCACCCTGACCTGGAAGACAACAGGCTGGCTGACCTATGGCCAGGTCTAGGGAGACCAATTAACCAGAATCTCAGAAAAGCTGCTGGAATGTAGTTGGGAATTATAATTAATTTTAACATTTCACCTCAGGCCAAATCAGTGAACTAAGTAAGTAAACTCGAGTGGTCTGGCATGGCTGGTGGGTGGACCCATCTGCCACTTGAAGGAGCTCTCTGGGGAGGAGGAGAGCACACAGGTTGCCTTCAGGAGCTGGAGAGTGTCAGAGGCTTCAACTGAAGGACATGACTTCTGCTTCCAGGGCCCAGGGTCAGGATGGGTTTCTCAGGCAGTTCCTCAGACAGCCCCTGACTCTACAAAAAGTGTCCCTCTTCTTAGGCCTAGGTGGACCCTGAAGCCCAGAGCTGCTAATTAACGACCTTAGGCCTCCCCCCAGGGCATGACCAGTGCCCATTTGCCTGCCAGTCCACATGAAATATGGGTAGCACACTCCCATCATTAAAATGTGTCCCCCCTCTCTCAGGCTCAGAGGCGCAGGCCTGTAACCCCAGGGACCCTGGAAGCTAAAGGAAGATAACAAAAAACAACTTTGAGGCCCAGTCTCAAAATATAAAAATTAAAAGGGACTGTGGATAGTATTGTGGCAGAGTCCCTGGGTGTTCAATCCTGGTGTGCACAGCATGTACACACAMAAAAAAAAAAAAGAAAAAGAAAAAAAAAACACTCAGGCAGTCCCTCAGACAGCCCCTAACTGACTCTATAAGAACAAAAAGTGTCCCTCTTCTTAGGCCTAGCTGGACTAGGCCTAGGAGAGTTCCTCTCCCCCATTTGCATTCTCCAGGTATGTTGCTGCTGTCCCTGTCCCTGCAGCCTGGAAGCAGGGTTCTCCAGTCTCCTCATTTCTCAGACTTTAAAACCAAAAATACTGCTCCTCCCTTAGAGACAGAGACATACCAACCTGCTCACCTGGTGTTTGTTTTTCAGCACTATGTGTGGGACTATCCTGTGCTTTACTAACTTTATCCATTAGTTCTTTTACCTCCTGAGTAATTATATGGAGTTATTATCCCTACTTGGCATGGGGAAACTGAGGCACACAACATGGCTGGGGTGCAGCTCAGTAGGTTAACCTTAACAAACATGGAATTCTACGTTAACCTCTAACCCCCAAGATAGAAATCAGACATCCAGGGATGTTAAATAAGAACATACAAATTTGATCCAATGCTCTTAGAAACAGGGACACAAGAAATGAGCAGCAGAAATAGCATTTGTGAGCTGGGCACCATGGCGCCTGCCTGTGATCTCAGCAACTTGGGGAGGTTGAGGATCACATGGTCAAGACCAGCCTCAGCAATTTAGAGAGACTCTCAGCAACTTAGTGAGATCTTGTCTCAAAATAAGTAACAAAAAGGGCTGGGGATGTTGCACCACTGAGTTCAATCCCCAGTTACCCACCCMCCCCCMAAAAAAAAATAGCATTTGTGCCAGGTGTGGAGGTGCATGCCTATAATCACAAATTTGGGAGGCTGAAGCAAGAGGATTACAGATTTGAGGCCAGCCTTAGCAACATAGAGAGGCCCTAAGCAACTTAGTGAGACCCTGTCTCAAAAGGGGGGGGGGGATAGCTGGGAGTGGCTCAGTGGTTTTATGTGCTCCTGGTCTAATCCCAGAAAAGAAACAGCATTTTTATCTAATGCTAGATATAAATCTCTCCCTCTCTTCCCTTGTTCCTCACCTTGGCCTCCAACAACTCAAGGTTGGCATTTCCCAGATAATGTGACCAGCCGACATCACAAGCCACCTACTTTACCTGATATGAACACATCCTGGAGGATAAGCTGAGGATTATACTTTCTGGAAGGAGGTGGTATCATCTCCCTAAGGGATTTTTCCAGAGTGGTAGACTTGCTGGCTTTAGGACATTGCTGTGCRCTTCAGCCATTCTTCACATGAATAATGATTAAGTGATCCCAAAAGGTCTCTGTAGGCAGAAAATCTTGCTACAAACATCTTTTTACCCCCACCTCCTCCTGCAAGGCAGGTTCCATTTTCAAACTGCTTTCAACAGGCTCAGAGGAGTTAAGTCACCCAGCAAAGTGGCAGTGCCAAGTCTCATGCCCAGGCAGCCC